GCCACCGCTCTTAGGTTGGAGGCCGTTGCTCTTAGGTTGGAGGCCATTGCTTTTAGGTTGGATGCCATTGCTATTAAGTTAGAGGCCATTGCTTCTAGGTTGGAGGCCATCGCTACTATTAGGTTTCTTTTGCTCTTAATATGTCCGCGTTTCTTATGTGCCCTTAGTCTTGGACCATTTCCCCCTCTGTAGGCGCCACAGTTTCGAGCGCTTGCTGCTGACTTCGAGTTCCCACCTAAGACCTCCATGAACTCAACCTGTGCGCATTGATGACATGGCTTTCCATGGCTGAAAGATGATTATATAGCTATAAAATATAGCTATCTTAGCGTTGCTGCTTGCAAACGGTTGTGTGCATATTCAACCGTTTGTAGAGCTGAGAAACTGGTGGCTTGAGCAACTCGCTTTTTTGTTCCTCCGGGTGGATGAGAGGAGTTGAATGAAAAGAGCTTTCCATTTGGAGGCTTTGGCGCTGCTGGGTGAAGGCTGATTGCCGGCAGCGTTGCCCTCAGGGAGGGCCAAACACATATTTAGCAGTTGTTAGATTCTGTAGAATTTGTTGGGGGTCCAAACTACGGTTCTCAGCACAACATAGCACAGCAACAATTATGCAAGCCGAATGACATGATGACATGCCATTCTTGCCTATCACAAGGCCATTCTCGGAAATGTTGCGGCAGTTGGAGGCCACCGCAACATCGATGTCAGATATATATATATATATATATAAGATTCTCTAACATTGGCTGATGCAGGCAGCCAGGCAACCCTCTGATTTGTTTTGGCTTTGTTTGCTTCAACCTGAATCAACGTAGTACAAATATATATATATATAATATATATTTATTTGGTATATATTTATATTTGCATATCTATCCACTTCACATTGTCTCCACTTAGTTCCATTTGCAGGTATGGCTATCGAGTCAGAAAGACCGCAAGGCTTCTCCTGAAGCGCCATCAGTGACAGATGCTTTGTGTTCGAAATGTGGCCACCTCCTTGCAATATCTGGCAATAAGCAATCTTATTCTTCCAGTTTCATAGAGGAGACCTTAAGGCAAGGTCGTGTTAGTTGATGTTGAACAAGTCCGCTAAGGAGCACAATCGGCTACTGCATATATATATATTGCATTATATTGCCATGGTTTAGACTTCTCCAAGTCCGAATGGTTTTTGGTTTCAGCCACTTTGTTGCGTTTGAGGTGGTCCTTTTTGGCGAGTCCTTCGGCGGACTTTTGTCTCTTGCCGTGGCTCTTCGTGTTGGTCGGGACAGGCTGAAAGGCCATGATTTTCCCGAGTCTTTTGCATTGATCGAATGAGGCATTCCTCGTCATGGTCACATCATCTTGGATGGAAACCAGATGTAGATGATGTAGACGGTAACAAGCTAAGAATTCTTGTGACGAAAGTGATCTGTGGCCGTGAGTTGGCTCGATCAGCCGGAATGGGGTTGCCGTTCCCGTGTTTGTTTCCGTTTGCCACTCGGCCTTTGGTCTTTACAGGGCTTTAGTACTTTACTTTAATTACTCTTTAGCCTCAACGTGTTTTGGGTGTAATGTAGCGTGCCCCTGTTGTGCCAAGGTCAGGCCATCCTCGAGCTAAATGCCAGTGAGCTCAGTGTTGTTGGGCATACAATAGCCATACATCCACGCATCACAAATGAAATCAATGTACCCAGTGTCACCAATGCATCTATCAATCAAAACCTTCAGCTTTAGCGGGTGCGATGGAGGGAGGCATTGGGGGCCAAGGTTCGACTTCCATGTCTTGCATGTGGCACTTGCAGCACTAGCAACTGCGGTGGAGCACACAGGACCAGGAGAGCATGCGGCCACTGTCACTCATGTAGAGAATTTTGGTGGACATGTGTGTGCTGCTTGTGTGTGATGGCGATCTTGTATATCATATGCGGAAGACGTCGCAGATTGTGGTTCTGGGCAGCAAGGACCTGCGCCCCCATCACACGCCGCCCTGTTGCACCTGGGTGGCAGAAACAAAATAATCATAACTTATAACAAAAATAAAGCTTCGCATTTCAGGACTCACAGCCGGCCACCAGTGGCCAGATTTGAGGGCCTAGGCCGAGACATGCTAGCAGTTTGATTTCAACATATGAGCAGTGAGGAGACAGGAGCCGTCTGCAGATGACAAAGCCTTCCTGGAGCTTCCAGATCCTTGGCACAAATAAGGCCGTTAAGGCCTTCAACAGCGCAGCAGGTGACGATACTGTAGTTAAAGCTCTGTCAAGGTGAGGCAATTGAAGCTTCATGCCCCTGCCAAGGCCAACCCGAATGGAGGTGACTCATTTGCAATTTTGATACATACATTTTGCCTAAAACAATCTCAACCATGCCATCATACCAACATGACTTGTTTTTTAACACAACATGACTTGCAAACCGTAGAGGCTATCAGATGGGCCCGATGGGTCCTCCACCTCCGATCGCCATGAGTCCTATGGGTGGAGTACCTGGAGGCACTGGGGCGAATTGGGGTGGCCTTTCAGCTCCATCGTTCAAGCCGTTTGCCCGATGTGTCAGGCATGTCGATGTAATGGCAGATAAATCTCATTCAATTGGCAAGTCTTCACCAGACTTGGTGTGCATTGCTGCAGCCATTTGGTTCATGGGATTGGCGACGAATATTTATTTGCCTCAGTGCCGCTCAGCCTTGGCATAGACTATCCATGTCGCAAAGTTTTGGATTTGTATTGGTGCTGTACGGTTTGTTTCTGGTGGCATGTGGAGGTGCAGGAGCATGGTTGCATAACTGGGAGAAGAAGGCTATGCATTCTTTGTATGCGGGTCTTGGTGGCTGTGTGTCCATGGTTATTTGTGGCATCCTTGCAGCCAGCAACATCAAGATCCTTGTGGCCGTGGGTGTGCACCTGGCTCTCGTATTGATGCTTGTATTCATTGTAGTTTTTGGAGTTCAGGCTTTCAAGTCCACAGGGGACCCAGACAAGTTCGACCGCCTGGTGTTGTTTCTCGTCATGGGCATTGGGTCGGCAATGGCACTGGGGAAGGCCATTAGCATGAAGCCCAAGAAAGAGAAGAAGTAGTGCTGGAACCAGTCTATGTGAAGTGGCTGCTTGCTGTCTGAAAAATGCAGAAAGGCCCCCTGCTAGGAAACAGAGTGTGAAATGTTGCTACCAAATAGTCAGGACGAACATGCTGTGTTCGCACAATTTCGCGCAGAGTGCCAACTGACAAAGCGATATGCAGCCAGACCATTTGGCAAAAAATGGGTAGCCAGAGCCAAGCTGCATCACCTAGAATGCTTCTTGATTCATTCGTATGGCATTATTTTCATCCGACGTTATTTGTGCTGACCCTCACGAGCTTGCCAGTGATTGAACTTTTGTGTAGGTGGTCCTGTTTTGATGCCTCCATTGCCTCAAGGAGGCACCGGCATGAAAGATTCACAATAAGATACAATAAGCTAAGTTTGTTTTGGTGGCTGACTGGTATCGCCGGTATCGCCAGGCTATGGACCTATGCAGCCAGGCCCAGGCCGACGAGAGAGTGGAAGGGATCTGCCAACGATGTAGCTCATTTCTTTAGTATGATATACTGTAGAAGATGGATGGTTCTTGTCCCGTCAGGCCCTGGCATGCCGATGGTTTCGTCTGGACTTGCAGGCAAGGCTGCTGTTTCAACCAACTACTAAGCAGATCGAAAGCGTGTGGCTCTAGAAATTTGTTTAGTAATTTCATATTGTCCGACATATTCCAACAGTTGCAGTCCGGTGTCAGATGTGTTTGTCAACAAGGTGTTATACGAACGTGTGAGGCACAACTGACCTGCAAAGTGCTAGCTGCTAGGTCGTCAAGGCGGAAGCTTGGACACAGCTCCGGCCATGCCTGGAGATCCATTTGCCGGAGCGGCCTGTGTGGTACCAATGTGGAACAAGAAGGAGCCAACAGTGAGAGCTTGGCTATATTATCTATATTGAAATCATCTCGCTGAATCCTGTTGAAGGAGTTCCTTTGTGAAGAGCATGTGGAGGTGCCGGAAGATGAGACCTTTACCGACTTTAATGACATCAAGCGCAAGAAACTGCACGTGTCTCGCTCCAAATTAGCCACGTATTTTTGTACAGCTACTAGTAGCATCGGAGCCGTATGCATCCTGGTTCCAGGATGGGTCAAGCTGCACCACCCAATGCCCACACGCAAGATGGTGGCAGGTTGCAACCCAGGATGTTTTGTGACTCGGCCTGCAGGTGATTTGATGCCAGGCATGAATGTAGAGGTGCCATACGCTACCAACAAACAGCAACCGTGTTTTCAAATCTATCATGAAGCTCAGTGCATTTGAGGGGCTGCACATGCTTCAAAGGCCAGCAGCAGCAGCAGCAGCAGCATGTTGTGGTTGAAATATGCCGCTAAAATTGGCTATTATGCAGTATGCAGTTAATCAAAGGTCATCATCACTCAGGAAGGCAAGCCTTGCAACAACCAAAAAGACTAAATTTATTTGTCCGGACGAGGGGCTGAGATTCTTCCAGCAAAGGACTTGCCGAGACGGTAGATGGAGAGATGACACTGGCCGCCCAGCGCAGGAGCGCATTTGTTGCACCCCACATGTCGATCTGTCGCATTGCGAGTGGGCGAGCTTGGGGTCACGGAGTGACGGCAATGCTGCTAACAAGGGCCTTACTAGTAGTAACAATGAAAAAGAAGCTTCAGACCTTTAGACCTTTTTTCATCGTTTTGTTACTACTAGTAAGGCCCTTGTTACTAGTAGCGATGCACTTGTTTCTAATAGCACATGTTGGTCTTCTGCTGGTATTTATGGCACGGATTCCGCATTGCTGCCAATCTGCGTTCGGCCTGGGCACTTCTGCTTGGATCAACGGAGAAACATGTCACCTCCCACATGGACACACAGGACCGACAGGACGTAAAAAAGGAACAATGGCTGACAAATTGGCATGATGATGATGATGATGAGGATTTAAATATATATACATCCCCCATGATATTTGGACTAGAAAATGGGGGTGTCAACGTACGTAGAAAACGGCAATTCTTTAGTGTCAAAAAGGTACTGTAAACTCACCGAGAAGGGGTCAGGAGCCTCATTTTCTAGTGACATGTAGGTCACTAGAAAATGAGGATCACAGGTCTCATAGGCATGCTGGCAGGTTCATTTTCTAGACATCACCTTGTTTTCTTGATCCCACCGTGATCCTCATTTTCTAGTCGGGGTTTCTCATTTTCTAGTGGCTTTGGTGTCTCGACCAGCACAAGGTACACCCAAATCCTCAGACACTGCCATACCCTACCATTCCATTTCTGGCACTCTGGCCAGAAATGGAATGGTGGGGTATCCAGTCAGACCAAATTCACAAGAAAATGATGGGTTCTAGGTCTTCAGGGTGTGTTCCTCATTTCTAGTTTTGGTGTCTCGATCGGCACAAGGTACACCCAAATCCTCAAACACTGCCATACCCTACCATTCCATATCTGGCACTCTGGCCAAGAAAGGGTAGGGTATCCAGCCAGACCAATTCAGTAGAAAATTATGGGTTCTAGGTGGCTTTGGTGCCTCGACCACCACCATTTGGGATTGTTTGTTCGCGTCTCTTGTCATTCACACTTCATACTTTGTGTTTCACTTTATTGAACTTTTGTGTCCGAGTTATTTCATGTTGTTCCGACTGCATGCTCCAGTGGAGCCCTTTGTGTTGTGTTCGGCCAGCTGCTTGAGATGACTTGAGTGGTTTCAGGAGCTTGTTTGTGATACCTCAAATGTGCGCTTTAGCTGCAAATGGTTTGGCCAACAGCAATGCAACAGGTGATAACAGGTGTGGTTTGCCGAGAATGATCCAGAAAACAGCATCAATTTGCCAACGACAATCCCAGCTGTACCCTTTTTTGCAGTGTTCCGTTGCTCAGGTTCTACTTCACCACACTTTTAGTGATCATACTGATTGCTTTGCTTTGCACCCCTGGTGGGCGAAAATCCTTCCGCCAGGCCCGACAGGCGCACGGTTAGTTTGGGCATTACCAAAACCGCTTTAAGATGGCAGTGATGAATAGAACATTAGGAGCAAGATTACTAGGGGCTCCTGGCCGTACTACTAGGAGCAAGGGCACCGCGATTAGAAACAAGAAAGAACTAGAATGAGTATTCAGGAATGTAAGTAATTAAGTTATACTTATTTTGTGACTAAATTAGATGGCAGGGTTACATTGCGTCAGTTTTCATGCTGGAATTTCTCGCAATGACTCCCTTTCGGCGGGGTGTCGGTTGTGATGGAGAAACGTGTTTCAAACGTTTGGACCAGGCAGGAACCACGGCAGCAGCACCGAAGATGGAGCCAGGATTGCTGATACAAGATCAGATCCAAACATTTCTATACCCTACTTGCAAGACACGATCAAACTGAGGTAAGAAGTGTTGTTTCTCTCTCTCTCTCTATCCCCCTCTATGTATGCATAAGTATACGTGGTTGTTTGAGCGTGAGCTACGATATTTTTGTTGGTTCTGCTTGGTTTCTACTATATACTGTACTTCAGTCGGCTTCGCACAGCAATCTGCAAAGCCATGGCAAGAGCAGTTGTTTGAGATGTTATAAGTTGTCTAATTACACCAAGGCAAAAGGCGTGACACACACTGAATTGCAGTGTAAGATGGTGTAGGCATGCTAATTGGGGTGATGGGGCTTGCAAATGGCTAGTTTGATGCTGCAACGCAACTTTACCAGAAGTCCTTGCCTCTTGTTGTTCATTGTCAGAATTCGAGCTTTCAGGAGCTGAAAAGAAGGACGAGGATGGAAAAAAGGTAGGAACAGAACGGAAAGGAGCACCCCCAAAAAGAGTGGACAGAAGCAAGGGGCGCACAGGTAGTGACAGAGAGTTTGACATGTTGATTTGTATTTTTGGCCCACTACGTGCGAGCAGTAGCAGCGGCCTTTTTTGTTGTCCTTTTCTCGTGCCTATTCCATGTAGGCAGAAGATAAGGAAGGAGATGCCCAGGAGCCGGACGGGATGAAGGAGAAGTGCCATGACGATAGGGATAGGGCTATATGTTTGCTTCAAATTGTTTCAACTCGAATTAAAGAAGTTGGTTGTCATCAGACTTAAGGCATCTTAAGATATCTTAAGACCTTTCCCACCAGAAACATGCTTGGTTCGACCATTGAACATCTTGCAAGTGCCAGATGATTTTCTTGAGATTCCGCTATGATCTACATTGTCGAACCACTTGAAACTGCCATTTGGTGGGTAGTGTGCTTCACGTGTCTTCACAGTGTAGCCGCTAATCAATCAATAAGTTGGTTTAACCGCTTCACTCCTTTAAGGCGATGCCAGGAGCCCCTAGTGGCGTCCTTGCTCCTAGTAGAAATAGTTCCACACCCGATCATTGGAGGGTTGTACCAGCAGTGTAGTAATGGCTGCTTGCCTTGGCATGGTGTTGCCCACCCAGGTCCATGAGTCCACCAGAAGAATTTTTGCAACTTTATGTCTTCTTGAGCTTTCCAAGGATGCTTTAGAATTGACTGTGATCAACAGGGAAACTGGTAGGTAGATTCTTTGTTCTTTATTGTCCTTGCAACACATGACGCAGGGGACATCAAGTGAGTCGAATGGCCGTTTCTTTAGAACCGTAGAATCAGAGAAAACACTGTTTGTAGGACGATTCCACCTTGTCATGTACGGCTGCCTGTGGTCATGTTATGATTGTCTTCTCCAGTCGTCCATGGAAGGACAAACCAGAAGGGCCAAAGTGACCGGCGCTGTACCAGACCCCTGCAGCGGTGGAGTGAAACGGAATGAGGAGCCCCGAACGTAGCGTCCTTGCTCCTAGTAGTAAGGCACTTGTTACTAGAAGCGATGCACTTGTTACTAGTAGCTTCTTGTTACTACTAGTAAGGCACCTGTTACTAGTAAGGCCTTTGTTCCAACAAAAATCTAATATAACATCTAGTAACGAGCGACATCGTAACACCAGTGAGCTGGCTTCGTGAGGCCTCAGTGACGTGACATGTGTCATGGCAATTGCAAGTAGCTTATGAAGTTGGTTGCGCAAGACAAAAAGAGTTTGGATTCAACACTTTGCTGAGCACGGCCCTTTCAGCACTGTAAAAAACACATGCGACGACGTAGTGCTTTTTGAGAAGCTTTTGGCGAGGCCTGGTGTTGGTAAACCCGGCAACTTCCTTTGACCGGACTGTGTGGCCTCTCCTGGGCCAGACACCTAGAAAGACAAAATTACACTTCTTTTGTAGATGATAGCGTAAAGTTCGTTCCTCAGATGAAACTTGTCGACAATGGGTTTGCTCACGCTTTGTGCTCAATGTTCTTGAGAAGGACTGCTTTGAGGTCGGGTCCTAGCTTCCGTACCAAATGTCTAGTCCCAAGACAATGCTTTGGTGACAAGTGTATGGTGAATCATGCAAGATTGTGCTTGCTGCCTGCTTGATGTTCTCAATCAGGCGGAGGTTTGATAAAACACTGAAAGTAGCGATAGCAAAGTTGTTGCTTGGCATCAGGAACCTCAATCGCTACGGCCATGGGCTCCGCACAAAGACTTGAACGACCTACTTCAGGCAGTACGGCAGTACGTAATATGCTATGCTGCTATGCTTAATATATGTTTTGTTTTGTCTCCTTGAGTTATGGTGTCTTTTCTCAAACGTTTGCTTGGACAGCAGGACCTTCAAGACCGTGCTGGACAGTCGCCCTATCCATATGTTGCAGGGTCAGCAGGGGCGCCTACAAGTAGATTGGTTTGAGGCTTCTTGGGGCATGGCTAGATCGAGGGGTCATTTTGTCATGCTTGATCAGCATAGCAGACTCAACATGTGACTGGCAAGAACGCCGTCTCAGTTCATGCTGAAGCCTTGCAAGCAAGGCCTTGACCGGAACGGTTGCCGATTCAACACAGCTTGGAACCAAGCTGTCCACAGTGCGGTGAAGGCCGCATCCTGTTCTCAGTGTCAGCATGAAGGTAGATACTGTAGAAGGATATTGAAGGTCAGGACTTGGAAATGAGGATGCTGCTGGTGTGATTCACGCCTGTTCCCACAAACAAACTTGGCAATAGTAGCAAAGATTTATGATGGTCTGACAGTGTGGATATTGAATGATATTGATGGTGCTGTTGTTCTTCCTCCAACCTAGACACATGTTCCAACAGCTGGGTGTGTTTATGTCCCTGATGGACCCAGGCTGGGACGCCTGTTCTCGCGCATTGCTTGGGACCTAAACAGCTAACTATTTGAGGTCAAGAGGACAGGTACCTCATAAGGCTTAAGGGCCCAGCAGTTAAAGGCAGCATAGTTGTCAATCTTTTGCGAGGCTCATTTATATACTGTATGTATATTAGACGTGCTTTGGAGTTGTATGGAGTTGTGGAAATTCTGCTTTGTGTCATGCATGTACACATGTACAATGTACACTGTACACACCTTTTTGGGCTTCTTATTGGCAGACAGGAGAGAATTGTAATTCGAGGGCTTGCAAATCATGAACAGCAGCAATGCGCTCGATCCTAGCATCGAAAACTTCCTCCTGTGCGCTTTGCCGCGCCTCAAACGCCCAAGCCTAGAGCTTGCAATGTGCACGTGAAGTCTCAAAGCAACAAGAGTCGCATGAGGGAAGCGAGAGCACAAGGAAAGGGTAGAGTTAGTGGTAGAGTTGTTTCAATGACTTTCAAGGTATTTGGATTCAATGAACCTGAATGGAGAGCCCAGCACGAGAGCACCAAGAGGAGATACTGCAACCATAGAAGCATTGCACTTGTTTGCACTCCAGGTACCCAGAGAACCTTGCCCAGCTCCTGCCGCCGGAGACAGTGCGTTTTCGACTTCGTGGTTGGCTTCGTGATGGTTGCGAATGGGCGCTCTCCTCAAACTTGACGCCCTGAAATTTGCAAGGTTCAACGGCCACACAGGAGACTTTCCAATGAGCGTCACCATAAAACATCGTGTCGTAATCCTTGCAATAAAGAACATCCAACAAAGGCTCAAAGGCTGAAACAAAAAACTTCCATTTGCGGCACCCACTGGTAAAGAACACAGGAAGCACATGGAAACATTACAGTTTGCTGTTTTTTTGTCAGGTCAACAGCGAGTTGCGGCGACGTCGTGGGTCCTCCTTTGGAGGCAAAACACCTCACCTGTGTTGTGCATTGACAACACTGGTGGCGGGGCCAATGTTGGCAGTGCGCGCATGTCGATCATTTGACTCTATAAAATGCCTTTTGGCGCTTGTCCCTCATTTTACAGAGCGTGACCCATTTTGTGGTTTTGTTGTTTTTTCTCCAGGTCCTTTGACAGCATTTTAGGAATTTTGTTGGTTTTTAGTTGTGACTGTTTGCATGTCTTGTGAACCCTTGCGGAGCATTTTATGGAGGAGTAGAGGGCTGACAAACTCACTTAGCTCATGGATAATTGGATAACTTGAGATCTGGATTGGCATGTTATAGAAAACATGTCGTGAGAGCATCTGGATTTGGTTTTGCATTTTATAGAGAATTCAGGGGTTGCCATATATATGTGACAGCGATCGCACCTGGCACTAGCATTCTGTAGAAAGACCATTATTTTATCGAGGGGGGTAGATCCTGATCCCTATCCACAACCATCCAGATGCACTTTCAACCCTGCAAAAGAAACCACAGGTTGTTCCCAAGCGCGAATTCCATCGCGTTTCCAAGCCCACCAAAAATGCACTCGGTGATTTTGTGGACTGGGGAAAACTGATGCGCTTTACAGGCCCCTAGAATGCATCCAGAGGTTTGGCGGAGAGGCAACAAGAGTTCCGCAGGTTTTGTGAATGTTTTTTGGTTCTGGCCAGGCTGGCCAATCCCCCAAGATTCCCTAAGATATTCCAAGCCCCCTGTCCCAAATTTGACATTGGGAACTCGAGGCATTGCATGTTATAGAGGCTCTTTGGGAGATTCGAGCTGTCAAGAGAAAGGTCTGGATAACATGCTTGTCAAATGATATTTTGATTGAAAAAAGGATTCGTGTTGTTAACATGTAATTTACCGACCTTGCTTCATCTTTATTTGGTTTTGCATGCTATAGAAATATGTTATCCCAAGTGTTAACCGACTACAGTATATATGTTCTTTCTTGGGTTTGTTTTTGCATTTTATAGAGATCGTGTTTTTTGTATGGGGATCTGGCTTATCATTCGATAGAGGTTTCACTTCTCCATTCTTCAATTGATATTTTACCACTGCTGGACCTGACTTTGCATTTTAGAGAGACGCCTGTGCCGCACGTGCCAGTCATGTTATAGGGAATTTATCCTATGCAACCCTTTTATAGAGACCATTTGTCTATAAGATGCCCGGCAAGTGGCCCCAGTGTCTAAGCACAGAGGATCCCGCACTGATAGTGCCAGACATGTTCCCGATTTCTCGATTCAGGCAATCCTTTGCCGTCTTGCACTTAGCTCATTTCCACCGCTGGTTCTTGAAATTCCCACTGGAGGGCTCGGCTGTGCCAGAATGCTTTTCCTTACTGCATTTTTCTCGCTCAAGCAAGTGAAGCTGGAGGGCAAAGTGAGCCTTAGCCATGGACCAAATTTGAAACAGTGTCATAGTCATCGGTTTACCCTTCCTGCTTTTAGGCTGACAAAGCTGATTGATCATGCAGAAACCAAACTGGCAGAAGCCTTGCTGAAGCCTTGATTTCCATAAGCCAACATGATACGCTAAATTTACGAGGGACCTTGCACATATTTCGTACAGATGCACTCAACGACGGCAATTGCCATGACGATGCTTGCCAGAATACCTAAGAGTGATTTGTGATTTGGCATTGATGCCGTATGCCATGATTGGTGCTGATGATGAAAGTATGAGCGGGGCTTGATCATTGGAGTGAACGATGGAGGAGTACCCTCGGGAGGTGCAGGGTCAAAAATTCCCATAGTCCTTGTGGAGAGCTGGGAGATGCTGCGAGTGTTTGTATGCGTATATGTGAAAGTGTGGTGCGGTGCATATCGAAAAGTTATTATGGCTTTGCCTAATGGGTCTCACACGGGGTGACTCTGTGTTAACAATCAAGTAATGTCGTTCTCTGACTAACGGGGCGAGAGGTGAGAGGTGTGTATAAATTTTAGATTGATGTATATATATATATATACATATTTGTAAATATGCACCAGGCACAAGTCAGACTTGCACCCAGGTGCAAGGACAGCCTTTGCTGTTGGCAGCACTTGTTGGTGCCACATCTTTGCATCCATCGCTGACTGAATCACTGCATGAAGCAGCGGTGAATGCAAGTGGACAGCGTCGGTTCAAGCACCTTGGCGCAGAAGCGAACTGGGTTTGATGGACAACGTGGAACAACAGGAGATTCGCTCACTATTGCGTAGACAATCTAGTTCTGCACAGCTGGCACTGCAAGCTGCGCAGGCTTAAGTTGATTGGTACTGTAATTAGTCCGTGCATTGACATTTGTGCTGAAACCATCGAAATCTTGCATGATTTGGAATGTGTCCAGCAGTCTTTTTCGGAGTTGGATGCAATCAGTTTATCGGTCTAGCAGAATTTATTTTGTAAAAGCTGCTGCCACTTGCACTGCAGGTATTTGTCCTCCACGTACGATATGCGCATTCTTCCTGCAAAACGTTGTGCACGCGATGGGTCGTCTTATCGCATGGAGGGAGTACTGAAGCGAAAATGGCTTGAGAAGATGTGTGGAAGCGTTCCAGCCGTTTTGGTCTTGTGCATTGATTGGTCAGAAGATCTGAGTCAGCCACAGCAGGA